AACTTAGTTCTTTCCCAGTAGGGCGCCCCGCGCCTACTGGGAGTTGACGTTTTCCCCTGCCGTGCTAGCCTTTTGGCTAGGAGCAGGGTTACGGCTCTGCCGATTTGAGTCCTTCCACGAAAATGGTTACTCGGACTTTCCCTACCAGAGGGTCCTGCTGCTATGCAGCAATGGAAGCTCTCAACTCTTGGACATAGTCCGACAGTTCTTTCTTGCCCTGTCGGGTAGCTAGTAAGCGTGAGCGCACACGATAAGCCTGATTAGGCGGTGCAAACACGCAAGTTAATTGCTTTTTAGCATTTCCCATATGGGGAATGCAGCGTTTACAGGGACATCGCTCGTTAGAGCCCACTCTCTAGCTCTTCCGACGAGCTTAGAAATGGCCAGGCCAACTCGTTGCTTAGCTGACACAAGCATGGCGGCATCCATTGCCATTTCAACTTCTCGAATCCAGAGGAGAAGATTTTCTCCCTCCTTCCCTTCAAAGGTTTTAGATTTTAAAACAAGAAAGAGAGTCTTTGTCTCTGGATCGGGCACAGGCACTGGGATGTATTGCGTTGGCGCAGCTGACGCTGCCTGGTCGTGGGCCTGCCCTAGTAGCGTTTCCTCATAACGCATGAAGGTTTCAAGGCGAGTATTGAGGACCTCCGGGCCTTGGGCCAAAAGAACCTCGATTTGATCGAGCCCAACGATCGCAGAGAATTTATCTAGCTCGAGTCGTTGCGCCTCAGAGAGGTGGTTATAATTCTCCATCCTCACAGAGGGTCTGTCTTACAGACTCAGGGGTAGATTGACTACAAGTGCTACCTGTAGCGGAGCTACACAGCTTTAAAGTCAGAGAAAGACTTTAATGGCTGAAAGCCTTTAGTTCTAGAGGCTAAATAAACTTACGATCAAAAGCCACTTAGTGCTAAGGAACTGATTAAGCGACCAAGAAGTCACCCTGTTGTAAGGAACGAGGGAAGAGACTTTTAGTCAGTCAAGCAATAAGCTTAAGGTTCATAGAACCAACGCACAGAGTGCAAGAACAAGATAGAAGCTTTAAAGGTTAAATGAACCAACGCATGAAGTGCACAAGAGAAACAAGCCAATACCGAAATGAGAGCTAATTTATCTATGCATTATGATTTTATGATTAATCCTACTCTAAATACCCTACACTAGATTGATTACTATTAAAGAAATTATAGTATGCCATCGTCTGTTATTTGGATATGGAATCATCCAATTATCAGTGTATGTTGTACTTAGTACTACTGTATCAATCATGAAACTGATACCGATAGTATGAGGCATAGCTGATACCTTAAAATATCACTCATCTATAACACACCTTTTAGAAAGAGCGATAGTTAAGAATGCATAATACTGTATGCAATATAATAAATCCATCTGTAATGTACTTTCGGTATAATGTTACAACCGTCGTGTAACCTCGTTACAATAACGGTAAATTCCCACCACCACTTTAAGTTTATGGAAGGAAGCAAATATATGCGAGAAAATTAAATATTAAGTGGATGGTTGTTGCCGCCGATTGAAAATGAAAAGAACGCTTAAGATGCGAAGTGGATGAGCGAACCTGAAGGTCACTATCCTTTGTTAGTAAGTCCAACACGTTGTCTCTCGTATGCACCACCCTTATATGTCCAAGGCGGCAAGGCGCAAACTTACAAGGATTCTACAGTGCGTACACGCACACCAAGTGTACGGCCAAAAACTCGCTCTTGCCGAACGATCTCTTTGATGAAATGTACACGAATCTCTAGAATAGCAATGTTTGGAATGTGGTGGCAGCTGAAAGCAAACATATCTGCGAGTTGTATGAGACTCCAGACCTCGTACAACCAAATTCGTGTGTGGTTTTCAATGACCGTCGATGTACAAACACTGTTCTTTTACAACCTCGAATTAGCTTTTACTATACTACTGATGTTGAATTTATATACTCGTTATCGACGTGCAGTGTCCGTTCGTAGCATTTCTTTCATAGTACTTCCTTACAACCGCATCTGGTGGAGGTGGCATCATACGGAAGTGTGGACAGCATTAATTGCCAGAATGCCAATGAAAATTATAAGAGCGCGTACATCAATGCAGCAGTCTACCCTCTCCCTGCCTGGGTTGTCAGCTGCAGACCTTGTAAAAATGAGACACAACTTTATGAAGTGTACGCTTTGCCGCTCGTCTAGCCGTACATACCGTTAAAATTACCTTCTGCAAACTGTATTCTAGTTGTCGCTGAGTCTCGATGATACCAGCTCAAATTCGGCAAATAAGCTCACGCCTCAGTCTTGAAGCAAAAAGCTGTATCGTGGTAAATGCTTAGCTACACCGACAAATTAGTCAGTACTTTCACTCGCCTCCTTTTCGAATCGCCGAACGATGTTGACGAACGTATCTGCAGACGCTTTTAGCTAGACAGGTACGGCTGTTAAAAGATAATTTTTAGACATTTTGTCAATTTGATCTAGATCAATTCTCCGTAACATAATAGTCTCTATAATATAACTGAATAGCTCGGTTCCTGAGCAAAGACAAGCAACTATTTTATACCTGTCTTAAGTAGTAAACGTTATAGTCTAATAACGCATTGGTCCTCAGAGTCTAAAAAGTGAAAAGCTTTACTGAATACTCTACCTGTGTGTTCATATATGAGGACAGTCAAGCGTGACGTCAGATATCTTAGACTTGCAATAAGTTAACGTTTAATACGTAGTATGTGCGGCTTATCATTTGGACGACATATCGTTTATGACAAGTGCCTGACCATTCTTTGCATTTCAAATAACTCACTCCTACTATCTTTTTACTCACTAGTCTGGTGAGTCAGCGGCATGTGTGAAACTCGGTTGGAGAACATGCCAACCATATCATCATTGGCCCTTATGTCGATCCGTGTAATGCTGCAGTGACTGATAGGGGCACCCAGCTGTATGATATCCTTATGAACATCGTAGCACTGAGCCATACAGTACTGAATAAAACTCGTGTGTGCAATGACAACCTTGAAGTTCTCTGGTTCGCCCTTCGATCCACGCACCAGATTGTCATCTCCATCCCATCGACAGATATTCTGGAAGGCCATCTTGTGCATCGACTCTCGGTAGTCGTAGCGGTTGTAGACGTCTACATTCTTGGGGGCTCCTTCTTCCAAGAAGCAGCATTCGTACTTGTTGACAATCCACGGCATCACATTGGCGAACACTACCGCCGTCTCTACAGTCCGCCGCAATCCTCCATACACCAAATTGACAACTGGTTTGCCATTTTCTCTCGTTTTAAGCATTTTATTGAGATGTTTCGCCGTGATCTTGGCCTGTTCCTCTCCTCGCTTCGTCAATCTCTTGTCTCGGTCACAGACTCGGAAATTGATGTTCTCGGTCTCTCCATGACGAATAAAAATGAGGTGCGTCACCCCTCTAGGAACTTGCAGCGTCTTTGTAAGAGGATTTAGCAATGGTTGATTAAATCTTGGGAAATGAACATTACCCACATGGTACGTCCTCTCTTTGATCTGAAATGGTGACAACGTCGACCGACTTATGCACTTGTGGAGCGGCTGAGGATCAATTTGTACTCGAGCAGCCATTTGAATGGACCACCACCAGAGGAACATGTCCTGTTCAGTCTGGAAGCGAAAAATTGTCGAGTCGCGTTTGCCTTGATATAGAAATTCTATCCGCATGATTTTGTTCTTAAAATCGAGGAAGTCCAATTTGCACTTCACCACTGGGACTAACGACTTTCTGCCCTGAATTGTAGCTTTGAATTTACGAAGGACCAAGATCCCATGATACAGCTCGGCCCAAGAGTTTGTCCAATAGGTAATACCCATTTTTACGCGACGGGTTTCGAGGAAGCCGCAGAGCACAATGTTATCGCGGCTGGCAGCTTTCCGTACCGCATAATCCTTACAGCTCAGAGGACACTGGGGACGGTCCTCACTGAAGTGTAACTCCATCTCGTCGATTGTGTAGCGTCGTATAGTGGACCCATTTTGTGGAATTGGGCGTGCCAAGGACGGTGTCGGGTAATGCGAGGCCAGCTGTAGGCTGCACGTCTCTAGCTCGTTGGGGTTGGCAAAGCGCACGGACTTGGGATTCTTTAATGGCAGCGGGTTAGCCCTGTAGGACGCGTTGGCAGCAGTGAAGCCAGCATACACGGGCATAGATGAGTTGAAACGTTGTCTTGTGTGTTAGACTACAACTTGCTAACTAATCGATCGGGTGCCTCTTGTAGTTGAATGTGTACGGACAATGCTGGATTTAGGCTGAAGGTCATAGCTTTGTATTGCGGGACATCATTCCGAACCCGTTTTGCAAGGTTTTGCGTTTCTACTCGAATGTTCGTATCTCTCATAATAATGACTCGTTCTGCTGCTACTCGCAGATTTTGAATCGGATAAAGGCAAGTTTTTGGCAACCTCTGGATAGCAAAAAGTCGGTAAGAATACAGTACTTCGAGCGTTTCCGACAGCCGTTTGTGGTGAAGATGTCGTCACACCTCGAACGGTCGCACTATTCAGTCATCAGTAGAGACAAGTATGCTCAATGCTCATTACTCACAATGCACTTCTATCGTTAGTAACGGCTTGTTTGGTTTCTTGCCGGCATCGCAGTGCGTGGCGCAAGTCGCGCCGCGGATTCCTGCATAAAACAACATTCAGTGCTGGTTAACAAGTCGATTAAACTTGTTTGTTTTCAGTACGTGCTGAGCTGAAGAAATAATGTGACAGTAACAAACTACTCTGAGCGAGGAATTGAAACAGGTCTTTAGGCCTTATGATTATTATTAAACGATGATTGGTTTTATATGTCGAAACATTCCGGCAAACACGTATTTACCAAAGCGCTTATTTTCTATTTATGTCTGCTAATCATAATTTTTCTTACTGTATTTTTATGTCTCCACTATACATCAAGTACTGTATACAATAATTACCACACACACATTAAAATAAATCCGTCGCCAAACCACCACCAATTATCTCGTCATCCATGGCTATGGGTGAGAGCAAGCAGCAAGAGGCCAAGGGCATGTTACGTTCCCGACAGGCAGTGAGCATCACGGCTGTGAAAGTCTCACCAAACCCGGCGGCTCTCGCAGCCGAGCTTAACCTGGAAGTGAATTTTCATTTAGAAGCGCCTATCGCCAACGGTGTGTGGAATATCGAGGTGGGGTGTAAACAACGTATGCGCTAATATATTATACTCGCATCTTGACTTTTTTATGTTTACGCCATGAAAAGTATCTGGTGGACTCCGTCATGAAGCGTCATATAATCAATATCCTTTCCATGCCACTCAATATATTTGCGTTGTCTTTCAATCACGAACAACCAGTTGACCCTTAACCAAAAACTCGTTTGTTCTATTTGTGTGCACACAACTGGGTCAAGTAAAGGCCACTGACTATGCTCGAGGCGACAATCGGTTCCAGTTTTCGGTTGATAGTGCAACATTTATGTTTTCTTGTCAACTTGTTAACTCTAACATTTACAAAACGATATGTAGACTCCGCAAGTCAATATTTCCGGCCTTCAGCCAAGTCAACTAACCAACTGTGGTTTGTTGATTGCGTCGTTCAAGGATGAAGACGGAGATATTTTAGATCTCAATATGGTCATTCAGGTGTCTGAGCAACGCGGCGGACTTCAACGGATTATCTACAGTCCTCTAGAATAGACGGTCACACTGACTTGGTGGTTTTGTCAAAATGTCGGATTGGATACATAAGTGTAGTTTAGATATTTTTGGTGATTTTCATACGTTTCTACTATGCTTACAACCACTAAGCACTGGTCATGCGAAATATGCACCTGGTGAGAACTTCTATTGGCCAAGGTTAGTTAAAAATAGAAATTTAGAGACCAGAAAATAGGCTTGAGTAAAACCTGCTAGATTGCGCAGCATACACAGCCACACATTAGGTAAGCTCTGAACTCTAGTTGTCAGTCGTAATTGAACACCATCGCATTGCAATTCTGACAAAAATAATAATGAATCTCATGTATTCAAACTATATCCGACTATGCTACGATCTCTGAAGTTACCTTGTTATTGAAAGACTATGATGAAAACGAATAATTACCATGTTGGAAACCGCACATACTTTAGATACAAAGAAAGTAAGTTGAAAAAGAGTTTGGTAGTAGCATAGGAGCGATTGCCTAAGAAAGGCCCTATTTTTTTATATATAAGGGTCAATACAGCCTTTTAGTCGTGACTAGTGGCCGAGAAAGCCCTCTTACCAGTGCTTCTATGTCGCTAGTAGGTGTGCCGGCTGCCTTATGGGCGCCGGCAAATGCCCGCCTTCAGGCGGGCCCTCGTTGTTGTGCTGGCTGCCTACGCTGCACCTATCCAGTTCGTAACCGACCCAGTGGTCCACATCACCCTGTAGGTGAGTAGCCACTTCCGACCATGGTACGCCTGCTACCTTGATATCATTCTGGTAGAGTTGTATACTCTTGCCCGCGTTCATAGCTTGATGCGCGAGTCTGTCGGCCATACAATTGTATTGCCGTATGTGGTGGGTCCACGAAATGACCCCTATTCGATCAGCTTGCATTTGGCATTGCATGTACATCCCCTGTAAATGTCGCGTTTTCGGCACTCTTCTGTGCCTGAGTTGGGTGAGAATGAGTAGACTGTCGCCGACTATATGAATATGTCGTATATGGTTACGCTGCATATAGCGTAATCCATTCAGGAGTCCGTGATACTCCGCTACATTGTAAGTCACCGAATTTCGATATGGCACACTCGCCATCCAGATAATTTCATGGAGCGACGAGCTGCCCCCTACACGTACTAGCACCGAGCCTGCCCTACCTTGTAATGGTGCACCCTCCGACTATACTGATTACAGTATAGTCTACTTTCACTGATTACAGTGAAAGCAGGTGCCTCAGAACCTCACGTACACGTGAGCAGAGGAAAGCTTATCAACTAAACAAACGCTTAGTTGAGAGGGAAAAGAAAACTGTATTTAATATAGTTAATTATCTAATAAAACTAATCTGTTATAACCTATGTTAACTATATTAAACTACAACTATGTATGTTGACAACTTGCCCTCCACTCATTGCGCGCGTCCATCGGTCATTGGTCAGCGCGTTGGTTGATATGATGGCCCATATCAACCAATGAGAGGGCATCTCCAACTTCAAGGAGATCTAGGAACAATATTATAAGAAAAGGTAATATTGTCAAATATTATTAGTTATAATAATATTTTTATTGACACTTCATATAAGTGTCAATATTATGTAACGGGCTCACCCCGTTACATCACCCCCCCCTCAACCAACAGTCACATTAGTGACTGTTTAGTGACTATGGGAAAGGAGCACTTGTTGAATTTTCTTTCATTCAACAATTTTACGCTATGACAAAGTCAATGCGCGTCGCTGCTAAGGCAGCTAAGAGCTCGGCTGCACGCCTGTGTGCAGCCGCTACTGAGGCTTCACAGCCTCAGCCAGCAGACACATAATGTGTCTGCTGGATGTCAACATCAGCCTGCAACGCCTGTTGCAGGTTCACGTAGCGCTTCGCCACGTGAAGATGTTGACCCAGAGTTAGTCGTTGACTACTCTGGTGAGTCGGATGACGCATCCGGCTCAAAGTCACCTGTTCCACTCCCGGGCTCTCCCCGGGGTGATACCTCGTCGTCGAATGTTACGAAGAGGGATCGTGGTACATTGAGTGAATCAATGTACCGTGAAATGTTCGGGTCGTCTGATGAATCAGACGACTCGCCAAACGAGTCGAAGGATAGTGACTCGGGTGGGGACCGTAAGGGTGATGTCAGTGCTTCTACTGACATCAATGCTCATAGTGTCGGTACTTCTGTTGACACTAATGCTCGTGGTGTCGGTACTTCTGTTGACACCACGCAGGAGGCTTTAGACCGCAACGTATTGCGTCTTGCTCCTGATCGCAAGCCATGGATGCTACCTAAGCATCTGCTTGATCGTTGGTCTGGAAAGACCAACGAACGGTTCCCCATACCGTTGTTTGATGCGTCAAAGCTTCATGGCCTTGACGCCAGTGCGAAGAACTTTCGCACTGAGAACGATTATTACATCGATGTGTTCCTTGAACATCGATGGTATGGCCCACACAAGAAGCGTGAGGCTGACGCGTTCCTCCAATCTTGGAACGCGTTTATCACCAACGTTTTAAACGTTGGGAAAGAGGCTTGGTTTCAAAGACTTTATGCTAGCCGCAATAAGTTTGAGAAACGAAGTACGTCCGGTGCATGCTATCGTTTGCACCGGTTATCTAGAGAGGCAGGCCTGTTATGCCTCTCTTGGGGCGACCCATGCCCGGGGTGCCTGAGCACCTCGTCAAGAGCGCCTAAGGAGGCGTACCTCCTTACTGAGCCCTGGTGGAGGGCTCGCATCTCTTCTGAAATGCGTGAAGGGATTGCTACTTTGCAATCCCTTTACGAGCGCGCTGGGCGCTCGTTTTCCGATGGTCCTTCACCATCGGGTGCCCCTTGTCGTACTGTTCGACAAGGCCGGGAACGTCGGCCATCAGTTGGGCCCGAGGTTCCCAGCTATCCGCCGAAGGCGGATAGCCACGCCACCGGACGAGATAACTCGTCCGACGTCCCTTCACCTCGCGGTGCTTTAGTAAGCGTTCCACGAGGAAGCGCTTCCCACCATGGGAGTCCACCAGCGGATGCGGTGGTGGAGGAAAAACCCTGTCCGATTCTTTCATCGGACTTGGCTGCTGAGTTAGACGGGTTTGCCCGTGTAACTCGTGAGCTCCGTTGTGATGTTGATCACGAACGGGATAAGCGTCGCCGCTTAGAGGACATTGTGCGACAGCTTGGGTTTGACCATGAGAAGTCTCGGGCAAACAATGCTGTCGCACTATTGGAGAATGAACGGCGGCTTCATTCTCTAAGTAACGAGCTGGCGACAGCTCGTCAGGAGATCGTCCAATATCATGGGACGATCTCATCTCTACACGACCAGGTATCGAATCTGGTTCGTGACAACAAGAATCTGAAGGGGATTCTTGAGAGTAATGGCTATCTTCGTCGTTCGAAGAAGCCGCGTACTGAACGTACGGACGAAGACGTCCCACGTAAAACGTAGGATGCGTACGCATCCTGCGTGGCAACTCGATCGTGTATGCGTTGCCTAGGCGGCGCAATACACGAAACGGGCCGATGTACTTGGGCAGCACGCTCACTGGCAGCCTCAGCCTCCAGCTGAGCATCGTCAGCTTTGTTCACGGCCTGATCAACATCATCCTGGGCGACCAGGACGCCAGCATAACCATCACGAGGGCCCTCCTCCGCTTGTTAATGCGGAGAGACAGATGCGCTGGATTGTAGATCGCATTGTGGGTCACGAGGACCCTCCACAACCAGTACTGCAGTCGGCTCATGAGAAGCGAGCGGTTCCATCCGCGCGCAGGTACCGAGTACGCTGGCTTGGATCTCCTACCGAGCAGGATACATGGGAACCACGTTCCTTACTCCTTCATGACGCTCCAGATGTGGTTCAGTCGTATGAAGCCACGAAGTCGGGCTATTCCAATGCGTGCGCGCACGCGAACGATCTCGTGACAAACGAGAACGATTACGTGATCTAGATGATGCCGTGAACGAGAACATCGTGGTAAATACATGTTATCACGATTGCAAAGCGAGTATCGCGCAGCATGACGGGCAGGTGAACGTGTCGCTGCTCTGCGCTGATTATTCCGCGTAGATTGACTCCGCTGTCGCGAGCGGTGCTGCCAGCGAGGCGCACCACGAATAACTGCGCTTCTCCGTTCGCTCAGACTTCGCTCATACTTTGCAATCCAACTTCGTTCGCGATCACTGAGTGGACACTCAGCGATGTGTCGTCGCCATTCGTCGTGAGTTGGGCGTGGATTCGAGTCACAAGACTGGCATCCTTAATTGACATGAACGAAGCAGAGGCGGTCCTCATTCCAAGCATCCTCACACACTCTTTCGCGTATCGCGCCGATGGAGTGATCGGCGCGAAGCTCCTCTCTATTGGCGAGCCATAATTGGAAGCTGCTACCATCCTCGAGCATCCGATTCCAACGTTGGATGAAGGCACACCAAGAACGTTGTAGAGCTTCATGCTCGATTCCATCAAGACCTTTCCCGCGCAGTTCTCGAAATCGGCGGAAGTAGTCCCGCATCATGTCCAGCGAGTCCGGAGCGTGAGCTCCGGACAAGTCGTACAGCGACCAAGGTATGAGCTGCCGCGCCATGATGCTGGTTGATGCATTCCCGCTGATGTATCTTGGGAGTTCTACTGGATTGGGTGTTGGGTCTCCGGACATTGCTTGTTCGTTTGTGAGCGATGGGGTTTCGACAGTTGAGCACTCACGGTTGGTGAGTGCTGTCATGAGAAGGAAGTGATGTAATGGGCTACATTACACACATAGTTAACACAAATAAACAATTACATATGTAGACAGGTGCTGGGCCCGAAACGCGGGCACAGCGTGGCAATTTATTATTGGTTTATTTTTGGGCCTAAAGTCCCCAATATGGACCAATGATAAATCAACCTGAAATTGTGTGGCTCCCAAAAGGCGGGAACACTGTCGTATTTATTACGACTAAAATCTTCGTAATTAGTACGAATTAAAACCAAAATAAAAATCAGAGTTAAATTTACTTAATACCTAATACTTGGGCTTGAGT